TTACAGAGTTATTTGCAAATCTCATTACAGCTATTTGATATGCAACGTGGCTGGGCAGGGTCTAAACTGCTGTACCAGGCATTACGTATCTTGAAGCACGGTGGTTAATTAATAATGAATACTAAAAAGCCATTTGTAAACATTTTGGACTAGCAGAGCGCAGTCGGTTCGGTTCTTCTGCAGCGGCTGCTAAAGTGCTAGCAAAAAAATTTCAGAATGGTTACGGCTGAAAAACCGATGCTATTTCCCCTGGTCATTGCTGCAGTTTGCGCTGCGGCCAGTGTCCCAGGCCCCACTTCTTTCTCGTCAAAGATGCTCATACTTCACTCTATGAAAGCTCCCTGGCCAATCCACAAATTTCTACATGTTATGGATATCCGGGAATTAAATGCCCTGTTTCAGCGACGCCTTGACAAAATTACCAGTGATGCTGCGCTTGCGGCCCGTCTCTCGCCACAGTACTGGAAGAATGCGTTTTTCGAATCAAAGGAACAGTCAGCAGCACCACATCCTTCGTTCGTCAACCACTGATTGTTCGTTGTTTTTCGGTTCTCTGCTAATAAAATACAGCACTGAAAGAGCGCTGAAATTCTCGCATCGCGAAGCATATCGTCCGGCGAGCTTCTATGCACTTTGGTTACAGGCAAGCGCATGCGCAAGGAGCGGTTTTTTCTTCCTCGTTCCTTCTAACCCAAACCTCATCGAGCACCACAGGGCAACTCTGTAGGCTCTCCATCTGTAAGTCAAAATCAACCACATTTAAATCATCTTTCTCGATTCCCTTTCGGCTGACTGATCCGACCGGATCTCCTCACTCACCCAATCGTACGCAAATGCCTTCCAGAAATATTGACTTCACCGCTGATGGCAGTGGCATGCTCCTCGGAAGAGAGAAAAGAGTCAGGGCCCAGCGTGCTCTTTTTTGCTTTTACCATTTTAATGCGTTTTTTACTACAGCAACAATTTCAATTCAACATTCAGGAATGCTAGGAAGTTGAAATTTTAGCCGGTTTTTTTTCTTACTCGTGTGTGACCTCGCAAATTTAAATTCAGCTTTTAGGTCATCCTCTTACGCCGAAACTTATGATGCATTTGGCGGGGAATTTTCTTGCTCAAGAACCCGTGTCATCCTTTACGTATAAATAATGCGTGTATGCTTACCATCTTCATAAGTAGATCACATTTACAGCTATGCAGTCCAACAATATGTCTGGGGCTGAATCTCTAGTTTGGTAGCGTGCTGTTTCTGAATTTATTAAGTTAGACACAAGTTGGCTGAAGTCCCAACGTAGATTACCACGTGGCAAAAGAACTGTTTTTGAAACTTTCAGTTTGTTCAGTATTGAGGAATAAAAGACCCAATTATTTCGGCGTTATGCGTTTCTTAGCTTTAATCATATGAAATTAACACGGGTACAGGATTTGAGCGTGTAGCTCAAAATACTTAAGAGACTTCATTTTGCTAGTTTCCTTATTCTTGAGATTAAACTGCGCTTGGTACATGGGTGCTTTTGCATGTGTAAAACAGCATTTTTTACTACCAGCTGTAATCAAAATTTCCACACCAATGTATATTTACGCCACATATGAAAAAGCTGATAGCAAAAAGCAAGCGGCAGTCAAAAAAATGCAGTGGCGTACACGAGCTAGAGGAGGCGATGAAACTGGAGTAGCAGGAAGTGAACAGACTCCTTTTTCAGGCTTCGCATAAGTTC